CCCCTGCCTGTCCTTCCTAAAGAGCCTGTATCTCTCCATCCCAACACTCCAATCATAGGAGCCATCCCACCACATCTCCGTGATGCCAATAAGGTCGTAGCCCTGCAGGTGTGCGCACGTCTCTAACTCCTCTTATTTATTCCCCATGCTACGTGCGTTTGCATGGAGGCATTTAAGTCAGGCCCCCTCTGAAGCAGACTTACTGGCTGGAGTGGCTGGAGTTCCTCTGTGCTGCTCTCCAGGCGCTCTCCTGCTGACCTGTGATGCTTCTCCAGGCTCTGGGCATCTGTTGCTGGCCCTGGCATCAAACAGGTAGGAGTGGGATGGATTGAGGTTCCCCTCCCCTGGCAACTTTCCTAACACTTTCACCAAGACAGACTAAAGTTTTGGTCCTGGTTCCAGTACCACTACTAATAAAATTCCCTTGAAAGGTCTTAAGAACAGGGTCTGACCCTTGCATATTCAGGCAAGCATCCTATGCTGAAATACGAATTCTTTCTTCTGTTAAGGGAAGTAGTAATTGCTTTCACTGATCTATGTGTCAAGACTTAAAAATTATGATCTACTGTCAAGGTCAGTTAGCAAAGACCGCAGGAGCAAATTTCTGGTTCTCGTGTTGATTGTCCATGTGATTCTGCCATAAAAATTATACATAGTAATACTCATTAGCTGAATTAGAGCATTAAATGGCTGTGAGAAACAACACTGCAGGGGGATCCACCACCCCTGACCCAATTCTGTCCTATTTAAAGTTATTTCCGGACAGGGTAGGGCAGAGAAATCTAAAATAATCCAGTGTTCTGGTTCAAGCTGATAGGGTGAGATGGACAACTATTATTGTGCATCATCTCCAGTGATAAATGTTGGTGATTTACATAGACAGGGGTCAAATTTGTCTCACGTTGGATAAATTTATTTTGTTCAAACTTGAGAAATGGGGGAACCACTGACAAGTCAAATCTGCTATCATTTTCTTCATTCTTCATTTGAAAATAGTTATTGTAAAATGTTCAGTGTAAGAAAAGCTGTGTTAAAAAAGTCTGTGTCTCCACGTACTAGTGAGGTACCTTCACTTGTTGTTGCAAAGGTTTTAAAGAATAGAACGTCTGAAGCTGGGCTAGAGGTCTATTTTAGTAGAAAGCTGTAAAACGTGACCTAACTGTAGTCAGTTCTCCTGGGACAGCAATTACAGCAATAAATGTTCCACAGCAGATGCTAATGCCGTGTATAAACAGTCATCCTCTAAAATGAAAAGAAATTTTTGCCCCCACATGTCTTTTAGGATCCCATTGTACGTGTGGAAATGTAAAGGAAATGTAAAATTGATATGCGCACCATGACATCGGCTTTAGTCTCCTCTGTCTTGGCCTGGCCGCTATAAATCTGTCCCGGCTGTAAGTAACGCTGAAGGAGCTAAATGGTCAGAATTTGTGTCTGTCTTTTTTATTAGCTTGCCTAGAGTAAAGTAGGGGTTATCGGTCAATGTCAGGTTCAGCACCCAGTGACCCACTGGGTTAAAATTGTGGTAGTCACAAATCAAGAGCATAATGAAGTCTGAGAAGAGGGCTATGCTGATTTATTAGGACATCTGTCTGGCTATACACAGCCTAGTACTGCCCCTGCGTAGTGCGAGCTATTAGCATAATCCTCACCATGGAACATCTTAGAGATTTAAAAGAGAGAAATAAAGTGTTCAAAGACTAGCAAAACCAGGAGGGCTTATCTTGTAGTGCTTATTGTAAGTCTTAACTTTCTATGCCAATACCCCATAAAAATAATACTAAAAATAAATTAATATTAAAAATAAATTACTGTCTTCAGTTTTCCAAACCCACTGAATTTTCAGAACACATCTGAATGTTTGTTCAAAATAAAATAAAGTCACTACCCCTGCTACTTTTCATAGACTTTTTCACATTTTAATTTTTTATTATTCACTTATATTTAACCATGGTAGCGTCATCCGCATATAATGTTATCATGTTCATTCTTACAAAAATTATCTCCTGAATTCTGTAATCGTAAATGTAAACTTCAATTTTTTGTGCCAAATATTTTGACTACTTTTAAAAGAAAGGAAGAATTAAACACAATCTTTCTGAGTTTTACCTGTGAATAAGACTAAGTCCATATCATAAATGCTGTATACCGTAAATGCTGTAATACTACTTTATATCCTATAGGCCAAGAAGGTTGTGAGATGCATACCAACTAGTACTGTCATGTGCAAAGCTACTGGTTTTTGTACATGAGAGGCATTCAGCGGAACCATCAGACAGATCGTTATTTCTTCCTTGATCAGAACTAAGGTGAAATAGGTTTCAATCTATGAATATTAAATTATTCCTTGAAGATTACTTTATATTTGACTATGTATTAATAAGGATTGTCAGCGCTCTCAGAAAAAAAGTTAAATATTGCATTTTAAAAATATATATGGCTGTCAATGTTGAATTAGTTTCATCACTGGTATTATTCCATTTCCTCTGTGTTAAATGTTATCCCGATAGGAATTTAGCTGGTAACTATAAAAATATGAGATACTGAGTAGTTAATAAATAGATACTGAATACTTCGAAAATACAAAGTACAAGCAAATACTGCAAAGTGCTGTCATGCAGATCTTTTTAGACCAGCTGTGATAACAACAATTCTCTGACCAAATACTGCAAAGTGCTGTCATGCAGATCTTTTTAGACCAGCTGTGATAAAACAATTTCTATACAAATGAAAAGTCTGGAAGAATTAATTTTAAAATGATCGAGAGATAATTAGCTCATTAAGGGTGTGAGACTTCTGAGGCTTCTGAAGATTAGGTAATTTCTTGGCTATCTTTACCATTTTATATCAGAACAGCCCTGAAACAACAGCCAGAGAACAGTACTGCTGAAGTACAATAAAGAATCTATAACATTTTTGCCATCATGTCACTGTTCTGAATGACGCTTGATAAATTTTGGAAAGATGCAAACAATGCACAACCTCTCGTCCTACCTAATGAAGGCATCAACAGTAACACAGCAGCAAAACCACTGAAGTACAATATGTAATAAAATTGCTGTTGTAAAGAGGAAACTATGTCTGGAATGAGGTGAGCACCGTTTTGCAAGAGCTGACAACCTCCCCCTGTGAGTACACGACATTTACTGGACCAGACGAATGCATGGAGGTTTGCAAGGTCCTATAGCCGTCTTACCAGAGGGATGCAGAGTTTGAGGAGCTCTTCGGAAGTGCTCATGCAGTTATCACATTTGCTGTATGGCAGAGTAGAAACACGCACTAGCTGCACACTAGCATGTGGAAATCACTGCTTTGCTTAAACCAGAGTTAAGTCTGGGCAGCCTGCACTGAGCAATACGAACAGAGAAGAAATAGAAATTCTGCACTATCAGGAGTACTGCAAAGTTTTAAAACTGTGTTTACTTTAGTTTCCAAACTTCCAATTTCTCATGCTGCTATGCTGTTTTTTTGGCTACAGTTTGTGTGCCATTCAGTGAAAACACTTATACTCAAGAATATAAGACCATTTCTTAAATTCAGTCCAATTAAAAGAATCTGAAGTAGAGTTAGCACCCGCTGCTTAGAAAGCTGAACAAGAAGAAACCTGTGCACGTGTGTAACTGCCCTGATGAGCAAAGGCAAGATTCAACTCGTGTGTGATGTCCTACTTATTTCACTTAGGTAAGATTTGCTAGTCCGCAAAGAATTAAAAAGTGGAGAAACTGAATACCCAATCATTTCTTTGAACTCAAGAAAGAAAACTATGGAGTGCAGTATTTTTTCCAAAATAGCAACATAAATAAATATGTATGTGCATAGTACTTGCCTCCATAAATTCCAGCGTTGTTCTTCCAGCTGAGTCACTAAATGCTCTATGTATTTGTTTGAGTCCATATATTCCTAAATGAAAAATGATTAAAAGGTTAGTTTTTCAATGCTCAAAGCATTTGTAAAATTTTGAGTAAAAGACAGTCAGAGTCAGTTTGTGGCATCCACTTTCATTTTGTACCCAAGGTTATCCCATGTACACAGAAATCACAATGATGTAAAAATCTAGATTAAAGCCAAATCTGGATTCATACCAAGTGAACAGGGCAGTAGCCCCATGCACTTTTCAGAGATTATTTGAGGGGAAGACAAAAGGCGGTGAGGATATGCAAGCAGCACAAATAAATTAGAGTACATATAAATACATATCCATATTCTAAGCCCAGAATTATCTTCCCTGGATCCAGACTGAAAAATAACTTCAGTCACTGTGTTGGTGCACATTTTGTTTACTTTAGCTATAAATCAAAGTGAACTGAATATTTGACTCAAATATTTATTTCATGGATGGTATGAAAAATATTATAGCATGTACCCTATTTGAAAATGAAACTATAACTCAGCTCCTATATCATTCTCCAGTTCAACTTTTGCAGATGCTGTAACTTGCAATATCAGCTATATGGAAGCTACTGTATTTGTGTCTAGAGAGAATTTCTGATAATAATCATGATCAGATGAACAATTCGGATTTTTTTCTTATTGAAGCCTATTCTTTAAACTCAACGCAAAGAGATGATGTTTATTCTCAGCAGAGAAATACATCAGTAATAGAAATATACCACTTCATTCCCAGGAGGAAGGCAACTTCAGTGTTATTTATATAAAATATTTCAGAATGAACCCACAGAATAACATGTGATATAATATGATATATTCGTATGTCAGCAGTACCAACACAGCCACATTACTATTATTCTGAAAACCCATCAGTAATAATATAACTCTCCTGAAATATCTCACCAAAGCAAAAATATGTTTCAAACCTCATGCTTCAGGAAATAACAAGTATTGGAGTACTATACGGAAAGAATCCATCTTCATACGGAAAGAATCATCTTCACTTTCTGGAGACAAAAGCTCTGCTTTTATAGCTCCACTTTTTTAGCTTTGGACTCATCACAAAACCACTTCATGGGGTTCTTGTTTGTATGAGGGGTTGTTTCTCTACTATTATTATTTATTTTGTGTACAAATATGGATTTTTGTTGCAAAGTAGTTGGTTCTTCTCAGCCATTTATCTTCATGACCAGGAATATGAGATAGCTACTACAGGGACAGTACATCATCATGTCTTCTCAAGGTGAAGATAAATGTTAGCTGATTTTAATGATAATAATTTATATAGAAATGCACATTTTTATTTTTCAGGACTGGAATTGTTCTAAGTGATTCTGTGTTTCTGCCCACAGTAATTATTTTCTTGTTCTGATTGAGAGAGAGAGAGAGAGAGTGGTTCCTCAAAGTCTGTCATGACACAAAGAAATGGTCCCTGGCACAGGCGAAGGAAGAGTAAGGAGCTGCTCCCCAGGAGCCTGTGCAAATGCATCTCGGCCGTACCCTGTTCAAACTGCGTTGCTTGAAAACCTTTGGGTATTGTGAAACTTTCCATTAAACTCTGTGGTTGCCCCAAGCTTAAATTTTAATCTAACTGCTGTAGGTAGATATATCTTGTAGATTTTACTTTCAGAAAACATTAAATAATGTAAATCCTGAGAAACACCATGAACTTTAGTGGAATTAATATAGCTTTTATACCAGTGCTGTTTAGATTAGACGCTTGCTTCACCAGTGGCTCTTACTATCCCTGTTACTCGACTTGAGTTGAATTTTACTTGGAGTACACCATGTCAATTAAGCAGCAAGCTGCTTCTAAGCCAATACAAGTCAAGTCATTCTGTAATACACATATATTACAGTTCAGAAAAAGTATACTGTACAAATGTATAACGATGATTAGTTGCAGTACCAAGTTCTTTAAAACAAGCTGTTTTTTTTTACTACAACAAACCTGGTATAAATTAGTATTAATACCTTTATATCTTTTTAATGTAATATTAAACAATATCCCTGATTTATTCATCAGTGCACTTTGCCCTCCAGGCAAGGATAGGATCAGCAGTTTTAGTCTGCATAATTCTACCATGATAATATAAAAAACTCATTCTGAAGTGATTTTCTCAAAAATATTAGCTAGAAATAAAGACAATGGGGAAAAAGAAAGCAATGTGTTTATCCTGTATGACTGCCGCCTTAATGTTAAGTTTTTCCTGTGGCAAATCAGAAATATTATTCTATTTCTCTTTGAAGACCTGCAACTCAGGAGTATGTAATCTGTCAGTGTGCAAAAGTGATGTAAAAAAATCAGCCATGATTTCACAGAAACATTGTGATTAGAAGTACCTCCTTTCTTCTATGCTGCTATGGCACATTCATCTGCCAGCCGTGTCCAAAGCAAGCCGTCTGCTTCAGACAAGGTCTCTGTTCCCAAGCCCAGGTTTCTGCTCTTTTCTGTTATCAGCTATCCCAATAAGCCAAATTCTGCAAACCCTGGATCAGAACCCAGTATTATCATTTTGTCAACGTGAAGCAAATAGCAAACAGTGATTTGAGATTTAGAGCAACTCTGTGATTTAGAATAACTTGGCACATCCAGTGAAAGCATAAAATTGGGGGAAAAAACCTCTATAGTAATCATACTTTTTCACAAAGACTATATATACAGTTTAGTAAAGTACTGACACTTTTCAGTACCCACTAGATCACATCAAGAGGAGTAATACAAATATTTTGTAGCTTCCTTGGAGCTCTGTCATAGCAGTGCTTGCACCATGTAGGCTTTGAGTAGCATGGCTAACTGTCGAGTCTGAAAAATTACACAGAGCATCATTTTCAGGAGTTTGCATTATTGGAAGGAGGATCCAAGTGACCCACACATACGTAAGAAAAATACCTTTTCCTTATGAAAACAGAGACAAGGTCCAATAACTGAGTAAGGACAAGAATCATTTAGGTAGACATGACTGGTTCTTATACTAGATACTAATAAGACAGTTCAATCAAATAGGAGAGAAAGGCTGTGAAAGCAGTGGCCCCAGGGTGTCAAAAGTGGCTGACAATTCTGCCTGTTTCCACTAAACACTGAGCACCTGCAAAACGGGAGGGGGTAAGGCTGTGTAAGGCCAAGTCAGCATTTCCGAAATTATGCAGCATTTTTATTCTGAAGTTGGAGGCGCCAAATCAGTGTATTTTTATAAATCTGATGATATTCTATAGCAATTCCGGAATCGCCATCCATGCCGTTATTCACAATCGGACTAGACCTCAGCAGCCCCGCTTTGAGCCCCGCTCTGACCTCCAGCGATTCCTCCCCACTTGTAGGATTACCAAGAAGTCCATGATTAAAAAAAAAGTGATTTTTTAAAATCCTTTTAAGAATAATGGGTGAAACCTGTCCCCTTTCTTCTCAATTAGTTAGCTTCCAGCCAGGAGGATTTCACTGCTCCATTTAGTCTCCTGTGATGCTGTATCACTTCACTGTTTTAAGGAAAAAACCTTCTGTAATATGTTTAAATGCAATAGAAAATCTTTCTAACAGCTGTGTAGATTCTGGCATCCAGGAGGAGTTGGTATGCAAATGTCACATACCAGCTCACCTAATTTAGAGAGCATTGGAGAATTGCTTTACCAAAATTATCACTGTTTTGAGCTGAAGCACGAGCCTACAAATATACCTAATATTTTTTTTGACAGAACTAAACATCTAACTTTGAAATGCTTAATTGTTTTGCTTTTTTTTTTCTTTTCTTTGTTAGCTGGATGGCTGTCAGGAAAAAAAGGGGAAGAGAGGAAATGAAGTGCCTCCACTGAGGCCCGGGATCCACTGCTTGGTATTTTGGTTGGTTACATGGGTATTTGTTCTGGCATATCCATGTTGTTGTGTTGGGCAGGGTATCAAAAATCATACAGCACACAGAACATTTTCCCATCCATTGTTACAGAGCAAACCCTTAGGGCAACCTTAGGCTTATGACACAGGAGTCCCTCGCTGAAAGCTGGAGGCTCGATAAATTTAAGCTAAAGAAATAGCATGTAGTCTCTGCCTCTCTTAAGGAACTTGCACAGCTTGGTATCAAGGAGAGTTTAAAGAGCTTAGCAATATGTGAAAAGGATTAAGGATACAGTCGTTGATCCAGCAAATCACTTGATTACGTACTTAATTCAATAGGGCTACTCATGTGCTAAAAGTTAAGCATGTGCTTCGGAGCTTTTACTGGGCAGTGGTCACTGGGAGGTGGGCGGCGTTGCGGTGGGACCAGGCCATCCCACGGCAGTGGTACCCCAGCTCTCCTAAACCCACACGCCTCAACCGGGCATGCAGGCACACGGCAGCTGCCCTGCCTGCCGCTGCTTTGCCTGTCCTGAACAAGCTCCCAGCGTACGACCTGGGCGCACAGCTGAGATGTCGAGTTGTGGCAGAAAATAGGGAATTGGGATAGAGCCTAGGCCAGCACTCATCTTCCTGCAGACCAGCTTTGAAGCAGGGCTGGGGGAAATTGGGATAGAGCCTAGGCCAGCACTCATCTTCCTGCAGACCAGCTTTGAAGCAGGGCTGGGGGAAATTGGGATAGAGCCTAGGCCAGCACTCATCTTCCTGCCGACTGGCTTTGAAGCAGGGCTGGGAGGTAAAAGTCATACTCAGCCCTGCAGAGCCCAAAGCGTCCCTTTCTCCCCCTGGCACATCTAACACCACTCCTGGTTCACTTGGGATGGATGCTGAGCAGACAGCCCTAATGCAGTCCTCTGCAACACTACCCCTTGACTCTGCTAGTATTTGTATTTGAAACCAGACAGGAAAACATCAGCGTGGATTCAGGCCCGTGTGCTTCACAGAGGAGGATGTTTGTCACTGGGGACTAGAGAAAAACAACAAATGAACAACCTGATAAACGTACAGACAAGTTCCTGCGAGTATCTGGAGCCGTCCAGCCCTGGAGACAGGGGACTACATAAAGAGCCCACAATCATCTGTTACAATGTGGAAAGTCGTATTTTCACAGGGAAAGGTTATT